GCTTGCTTAAATATTGGGAAAAAAAAGAACTTTTTAATATAAAACAGCATTACCAGCATCACTTACTACCAGACTGACTTTATTTCTGTCAGATGTCTAGAGAAGATCTTATTGAGAGTTACAGAGATTTAGATGTGTTTTTTTTCTTCACTACCATGATGGAGAGATCAGTGTTTGCTTTAGTTGGGCTCTTGAACCTTGACTTTTTAACATTAACTTTACTTTGGCTGTTACAGCAATGTGTTTTTGAAGCATGTTCGATACGGCATAAAACACTCAAAGAAAAGAAAGTCTGGTTTCATTGTTTACAGATTGATAATAATAGTCATTCTCTTATTCTAATTACACAGTTTTATCCTGGGTCGATTTTTTTCTGAATATTGATATTAGAGCAAAAGAACAAGCACTGAGCAATCAATTATGAAAGACCATTAAAACACAACACAAAAAAAAAAAAAGCCTTGTTGTAATTTAGACAGACACATCAAGAATCAGCATATGAATCACATCAACGGTGACAATCAACTAAATAAATAGATCAACTCTGAACATCACAAAACATGCTACTAAAACAACACAAAAACAAAAGCACATAAGAATTCAAGAAAATAAGTGGACAATTCAGCTGCATAATTTCTTCATGCCGCAATGCATGCTGGGAGTAAAGGGTGAGTTTTGTGCTGTGCTGGTGCCCAGCATGCATTGCAGCATGAAGCTTTTTTTTATCACCATTTTTGAGATTCATATGCTGATACTTGTCTCTCTTTGAGTGTTACTGACGTGGTAGTTAAATTTTTTTTAAACTCAAACTGTTATTAAGTCCTTTTTTTCTTGTCAATCTCATGCTGTAAATCACTTGGAAAATCCTAAAAATTGAAACACTCATGGAATTATTTTCTGAATGAGCCCAGCAATACTCTAGCAGTTTAACACTATTAGAAACAGTTGACATCACCTGACCAACCATGTCAGTTTTGTTATAACAAACGCATTTTAAAGACACAGTTACAGCAATTAAACAAAAACTAACCATCAAAAGTCAAGGGTCAAGAGCCCAAATAAAGCAAACACTGATCTCCACAGTGGTAACGTCAAACAAAAATAAAACATCACCATCTAAACCTCTGTTCATTCTCAATAAGAACTTAGATGTCTGACAGAAATAAAGTCAGTCTGGTTAGTAATGCATGAAGCTGGTAAAGCTGTTTGTTGAGTTGTTTAAATCTTCAGTTGATTTCATCTAAGGCTGTGGCTGAAGTCAGTTGTAGTTCTTGTGTTTGTCTTGTTTCTCTTTTCTTCAGTGATTCTGCTCGTAAACAGCAGCTGTTCATCACTGTCTGAATTCACTCATTAGTGTTCATTCTCTCTGTCAGGTGGACTGTATTCGTAAACTCATGTAGGGAATAGTGAATGAGGGTGTAGGGTGTGATTTGAAACACAGCCTCTGAGTGTCGACTCTGAACGTTGTTAATTCACGATATATAGCAGCAGGCTGCTTTCTCGAAAAATGACAAATATTAACCAGAATGCACTGCTTTAATGGAAAACAGCATGTTGCTGTCAAAATTTGGCCGTTTTATTACAGCGATTTTTAACAGTATAGGAAGGCAAGGAATAAATCAATACAAGTTGCTCTGCTATAGCAGATTTCTACAGCACGGGAGCACATTGTTTTTAAAGTGCAGAACGTTGGTTGGTCAAATGCTCTGGTTTAAGGCTGAAGGTGTGTATGACATGCTGCTGCATTCGGGATTTTCTGGCAAGGTTTCGCAGTGCTAGAAGGGTGTTGTAGTCGTCTTTAATTAAACGCATGTGTGTTTTTCAGTTGCACGCTGTACAAAGTTCTACCACCCTGAAAGGAAAGATGGTGCGATATACAGACTGTGTAAAGGAGACCTGTGCCTGTGTGCAGAAGGTATTACAATTACACTCATTCGCCAGACATTTTTATCCAAAGCCGTTCGCAACTTGTCATAAGAGCCCAATAATCTTCATTTAAATAGTTTAAATGATGTTCTACTTCATTTTATTAATTTTTTTTTTTTTTTTACTTTTTATGAATGGAGGAAAATATTTTGTTGGTTTGTTATGAATGTGTGTATACATATATATATAT